TTGGGATAGGGAGGGATCGTATTTACTTTCTGGCCTTCTGGGAGAGGTGGTTGACTTTTCGTGATTTTCCTGTTTCATGTGTACTATATAACTCCCCCCCCCCGCTCTACAGTTCAATGAGGAGGGACAGAGGGGAGGGCCAGAAGGGGGGATCGTACGGACTCGACTAAAATCTAAAAAAATGATGTGCCCTGTCTCCAAGGCATATTCGATAAGATTAGCAATTATCACCGCTAACGGATCTTGTTAATGAAAAATGATCGAATGGAACTTGTTGACTCCGCCTTCATAGGCCTTCATAGGCGGAGTGACGAGTTCCTCCTCGATCGTTTTTCATTACCAAGTTTTAGCGGTGATAATTGCTAATCTTATCGAATATACCGTGGAGAGTGCGTAGCATCAAGTGGCGTCTAGATTCAGAGAACTCGTCCAAAGTTTGGTTAACGCCCACTTTCAACCCCGTTCATTAGGTTTTTTAGGGCTTTTTCATCGGGTTCCTTTGCTTTTCTCTTCTTTAACATTGTAACAACATGATCTAATGGTTCCAGGCTCTACAAACTGTGAAGAGCGATCGCTAGCGCTGTCTCTAAAAAAGCCCTGCGCTTGCCATATCTTTATTACATATTTCGATGCTTTATTAGCCGCTGTTCGTTATCTGCCTGCGTAACATGTTTCGCAACAAGATCATGAAATTTCGAGGTGTCACGTAACCAGCGGCACGCCAAACCCGGCGCCCGTCCCCTCCCTCCCCCCACGCCCCCTCTCTCGTGCGTTCCAGCATTCGCAACCGATAAGACTGTGCAACATATCCAATCACATCTGTCATAGTGATACAGACGACAGGTTCTAACACAAAGAGATCTATCCTTATTTTCCGTCAATCCTTCCCTCTCCTTTGTACGGTCAAATGTTCAAAACCGTAGAGCAGTTCGTGCCTCCGCTGATTTTGAGGAACGGTGGAATTACTGTAACCGTATTCTGCATTCATCTCTTCTGTGAGAGAGGAGAGTCGCTAGACGAATGTCACAAATAGTTCCCATAAACTCGTTCCTAAGGCTGCGTTTATGCTGCAAAAAACTGGAGGGCTGAAGGATGGGCGAATCGCCGAATGCGACAAGAAGATAAGATATTAGGTTGTCGCATAAGTTCTTATACACGTGTTTGATCCTCTCCTATTTCGTTCGCATGGATGTTGGTATTACGTCATCACGTGTGCGTGACGTGTACATTATACTCTTTCATTACACTAGCTATCACTCACCGAGCTTGCATTTGCAGTACACAATGTCGCACAATTTGCACTGTGACAAAACGTACCTGCGCCACTGCCTGGTTTTGCTTAACGATTCACAAAAGAAGCTTCGCGTTCTCAACTCGATGATCACTGGAGATGAGAAGTGGGTCCTCTACGATAACCCTGTGAGGGAGCAGGAGTGGGTCGACAAAGGAGAACAGCCAGAAGCCACCTCAAAGGCCGACCTTCACACCAAAATGGTTCCCCTGTTCTGTTGGTGGTCCAGAAGAGGCATGGAGTTCTGGGAGCTGCTGGAGAAGGGACAGACGATTGACGCTTCCACATACGTGACCCAGCTGCGGAAATTGAAAGATCACGTCGACCGTACTCGTGGAGGAATGCGGAAATCTACTTCCACCATGACAACGCCCGACCTCACACTGCAAAGGCGACCCAGGCCGAGCTGGAGAAGTACGGATGGCTGATGGTCGCCCACCCTCCCTACAGCCCTGACCTCGCTCCTTCTGACTACTGGCTGTTCAGCCACCTGCAGCGCTATCTGGACGGAAAAAAGTTCGAAACAAAGGATCAGGTCAGAAAGGCACTCGACGACTTCTTCAAGTCCCAGCCCCCGTCGTTCTGGAAGGAAGGAATCGACAAGCTGCCTGAGCGCTGGCGTCGAGTAGTGGATGGTGATGGTGCATACCTCTAATCTTCAGGCTGGTTCGCTTTGAGATATTTACAAAAAAGTCGGGCTTAAGAACTTATGCGACAACCTAATACTTATCGATCAGGCAAATGAAAGAATTGGCAGTTCCTTTGACTGGTTCGAATGTATTCCTCTATACCACGATTCTCCCTCTTCTGCAAATCGCCGATTCGCCTCTCACTTCATCATCTACAGGGGGGGCACAAAAAAGTCACTTCCGACCGAGTCACATATCAGCAAAGTTTTCGCTGCCCAGACAGAGGACGTGGATACGAGTACCAGGGCGGAAGATACCCAAGATGTTCCTCTATAAGCAGGAGCTGGCTCTCGCCCATCACCTTCATGTACACCAAAATATGAAGTCATCTCCAGTCGCAGCCTGACTGGAGAAGACCTTTGGAATTCATGTCACCTCCAAACAGCTGCGAAACTTCTAGTATGGAGTCACCCATGGATAGCTACCTGGAGACCAGTACTCTTGATCTGGAAGACCTCCAACATCGAGCAGCTCCGACAACGTCGCTACGGTCTAGGACATCATCTTCACCACAGTCGCCAAGGCGCGGGTTGATGATGGACCGGACGTACCTGGAATGGAAAGACCAATATTTTCTTCGTGGACCCCGGACATAAGGTGAGCGCTGGCGGTTACATTGAGCAACTCGTGAAGAATATCCTCCTCACATGTCGTCGCCCGTACCTTCTTGGAAACTTTGTACTGCTACAGCATTGGGTGCCACCACATGGAATCGAAGGGCGTTGGAGAAACTCTCGCCTACTTGGAATGGAAGGGGGCTGAGTACCTAAAGAAGATGGAATATCCAAGTAGGTCACCTGACCTGAATCCCCTCAATTACCCGGTTCGGGCGGAGTTCAATAGGGTGGTCTACGGTGGCGGAGAAATCGACTATCTCGCTGATCTCAGGCACCACATCGCGGTCGCGTGCCAGAATCTCTCGATGGCGCTCGTCCAGAAGGCTGTGGCGGAGTGTCATGATAGTATTTAATATGCTCTTTAATATGGTGAAAATGTCCGATGAGAATTCAATAAAGTGTAACTTATAGCGCCTCGAAAGTCAATGAAGAAAAGTGACTTTTTTGCCCCCCCCCCCTGTAGTTCCGCAGTGTATGAACGCGTAGTTGTTCAGAGTTTCAGTAAGTGATAGGTGAATTTCATGCAAATACCCGGGGTAACAAAACCTTCGCATCAACACCAATCCAACGTAATCTCTTTGAATTTGATAGATCATTTTTAAGGGCTCAGAGAAATGGTACTCCACCACTTTTCTCTGACTGTTTTCGTCGTTATGCAGCTATGGAGCTGTTCTTACGCGCATGATGGAGACGATGTGCATAATTCTATTCCTGCTCATCGTGATGGAGTGAGACCAGTGTTTAAAGTATATGTAGAAGAGGACGGCTGGGCATATTGGTTAGACTTTTTGGGAGTCTTACCAGTCAATAGATACAAGTACAAGGTAGGAATTCACGATCTCTAGAGGACGATGTTTCAAGAGCACAATTTAAGGTGTTCCACGAAAGAAGAACATGGTTTGAGGCAGAGGGCATCTGCAAACACTACGGAGGACATCTGGCTTCCATTTCCTCAGAGGGGGAAAATCAGTTCATATATGGTGGGTTGCTCTCTGAGAGCTGAAGCGTTCAAACCTTGCAGCAGCGTCCACTAGCGCCACCAGTGTTGTTTACATACAGCTATATACGAGAGAGCCATAGACGCGAGTTTTCCCCAATTTTAATGGCGGAAGCTCTTCTTCGTATTGCCAGTACTTCTCTTACCTTGCTTTTCCGTACTATTTTCATCTCAATGTCATCCAGTATGGAATGACAAGCAATAAGTTTAAAGGCAACGCCCGCATTCATTTGTTGTCTCACGCCCTTTTGGGATATCATAGCTCACCCTATGAGGATGGTGGACGTACTAGTTTCGCAACTCAAAAATGCGAGAGAATAGCGGCGCCCGCTCGTGAAGAGTCGGCCACCCCGCCCACCTGGCGACCACTACGCCCAACTTCATTTCTAATGGTTGCCTGATGGTGCGGTTGTTCTGCTACTAACTCTCTCCACTTCGAATGGTGAGAGTGAGGTGATAAGGGAAAACAGCTGATATCAACAAGTGAGAACTCGTGCGGCCGCGCCTTCTCTTCGCCTTGAGCACGTACAACCTCAGCTCGGCGTGGGGTCCTATACAGCGCTAATTTTTTGCATTTTTTGTCACTTTGTCATTTCTGTGTTTTTATTTTTGACAGATTACTATTTTGATAGTCTATAGTTCCACTTACTCCTGTTTGACGTAAACATGAAGTTCCGGGGAAATGTGGTCAGGCAGTAAGAAAGAGGGTCGGAGCAGGGTCAAGCATACATCGCGGAATCATAGCGGCTGCAGTATGGTGGTAAGGAGCGCTGATCAAGGGAACAGGTGATAGTTTGTCGGGTGTTGATTTATTGAGTATTAGTTTCATCTTAAAACATACGAAATAAGGTACACGCAGCAAAGCTGTG